CTCTGTAGAGATACGGGGGTGAGATTATTGCAGAAAACCTTTTAAAAAATTAAGTAAATTTTATCAAATGGCAAGTATTATGAGCTGCTGAAACACAGGCTCAAGCAAAGGGTAATCGGACCAAAAACCCCTAGGTCTTTACAGCAATCCTTTAGCAAAGATTTTTCTAGGGATCTGTAATTAAACTGGATAGTTTACACTGGAAATGAAGAAATTGCTTGGCTGGCTGGAACCAACCTTTAGCTTGGCTGAGTAAACAAAAGCACAATTTCTTTTCTTTTCACTTTTTGTGTGCGTGTGTATGGGGAGGGGGTGGGCAGGGGAAAACAGGGGACTTGGTGAGGGTTAATGGTGTTTTTCGTGAAAGTGTCAGGAGAAGATGATTAAATTCCACCTCTTGTTCACCAGATCACTTTTGTGTGCACTTGTATATTTCATTGTCGGCAACTGCTGATGATCACATCTGTGCAGTACATTAAGTGGCAAGCCTCTTCATCTGCACGATTTTTTTTCTGATGATTTTTTTTCTGTGAATAATTCATATGATTATGAAGAGAAAAACTGCTATTTTCTATCTCTCTTTCTCTCTTCTGTAGCACAGATTAAAAAAAAATCTTGCTGTAAATTGCATGATTGGGGAGATAGCCTGCTTTCAAATAATTTAATTCATGACAAAACCTAATTACTGTCAGGTAATACCCTGTCAGCTTTAATGCATTTCATCAGTCATAATGAAAAGAAGAGCATTTTATGACCCATCTAATTATCATTACATTTTAGGGGGAAATGAATGGCATGGAGCTGAATGTTAACTATTCCATTTTATTCCTTTACACATGTGGTTTGGCATATTATTCTGTAAGTTTTTTTTGTTGTGTTTTTTTTTCTTTTAAAAAAGAAACCTTGATTGGTGGGGGGACTGTAAAGAGGGGTGGAAGATGCAATTAGATCTGGGTGTTTTTTCCTTTCTCTTTCCTGCACATGCACACACATACACACAAAGTGACAAAGTGGTTAATGTCTTTGCAGGTTGGTGTTGACATCGGGTATCTTATTGCCACAGTCCAAATAGAGTACTAATTACTGCGAATGATGTCACCGTAGGCAGAGGAATAATCCCATCATTTAATTAGTTGAATGATTTAAACAAAGATTTGCATAGATGCACTAATCAGTTGCCATGAATTACAGAGCAGCAGTTGCCAGCGAGGGGTAACAGATCATACAGTTGGAGGGAAAAAAAATCTCATCTCCTTGAACATAATTAATTTAATTGTCCTCATTAGCTGTACCATTTGTTTTGATTTTATTTCTCCCTTTCCCCACACATAACTTCTCCCTCCCTCTTTTCTTCTCCTTCTCTGAGTGTATTGGTGGAGAGAGGCACACACACACTCACACTGCTGTATTTTCAGAGTGGTTGTGGCAGAGGTAGTCTATAAACAGAGGGAAGTGTTGCTCTTCTGAGCGTATGGGTGCGTGCAGGAGAGAAGCAGGTTTCTGTCAAGTTTTGCTTTTCTCTATGTGCAGATCAAATCAGCAGAAAGGGGCTCTGTTAGTCTGCTGCCTCTGATTGTGCTTTTCGGGTTCTGGCTCAGGTTGGTTGTGGCTGAGTTTTGTTACTACTTAGAGGGAGAGGGGGACAAGAGATTCAGGAATTTTTCATTGCGCAGTATGCTTGTTAGAGGAATCTTTATATATATAATATATATATAACTACTTATAAAAAAAAAAAAAAAAAAAGAGAAGCTTACGGGGGGGGGGGGGGGGGGGGGGTGGGAAGGGAGGGAAGGAACCTGTCCTAAACATGCATTTCTGAGGTTGCTTTGATTTTTATTAGAACTGCTGGATTATATGAGGGAGGGTTGTAGATGGCAGAGTACTTCAATGCTTTTAAATCTTTCTTGGGTCTTGAAAGACTTCTATAATGTGAGTGTCATTCAAATTTAGGGTATATTGTAAGCTGACATCTTTCAAAGCTTTGTGGAAATCTAGTGTGGTGCTTCTAATAGCAGACAACAGATATTCACTTTGAAGTCTGAAAACTGTATTCACAAATTCTTAATCTGGTCTTTCTCCAACTGCAGATGGCTCTTAGAGGAAGATGCTTTGGATTTTTTTTAACTTTATTTACAGTAGGCTAGGCTCAACATCTTTATTATAAAACACGAAGAAACAATCATCTGTGAGCATGACTGAGTATCAAAGCGTACTCTATCTCTTCTGTGTCTGCGTGTCTGTCCGTCTGTCTCTCGGTCAAGGGTGTTCGACACCTACAGCACACTCGCGTCCATTATTTTTTCCCCCTCCACCACCAGGCAGAGAACAAGGATCAGTCTGCAGCTCCTGGGACGAGGGCCGGGGGGGGTGGGGGGGAACGGGTTGTCCCCGCTCAGCGTTGAGCTCGGAGGGGCCGGGGGGGGGGGCGGCGTGTGGCGGGCGGTGCCCGGCGGGGCCGGGGGCGGGCGGGCGGCCGGGGACCGCGCCGGGGAGCGGGAAACTTTCACGCTGGAGTTTCCACTCCTTCCTGAGCAGCTCAGATCTAGCACGGAGAGAGGCAGCGTTTTCACCTTCAGGGATTTTTCTCATTACTCATTAATGGAGAGATATGTATCTTGCCTTTTTTTTTTTTTTTTCCCCTCTTTTTTTTTTTTTTTTTTTTTTTTTTTTCTGCGTGGGCAACTTATTGCAAAGCAATAAGCAAAGTATTTGGGGAGGAGTGATGGGGGGAGGAGGGGGGAACGCTCCCCGGTTTCCTGAGGTCTCTTTCTGGAGCGCTCTCTGGGAAGGTGATCCTGAGCCGCTTCGGTAGAGGTCACTTGTGTGTGCGTGTGTGTGTGTCCCTGGTGTTTGTGTCTAGCATATGCATGTGGTTTTGCTGACTGCACTTGCAGGCTTGTAAATTTTCACCATGGGAAATTACCAACAAAGCCCAATCTGTCTCCTGGCTGCTTTGCACTTTCCGAGGGCGGCTGTACTTGAGCGAGCTGCAGAACGGGAGAGAAAGCGAGAGGGAAAGGGGAGTGGGGAGGGGGGGAGGGGGGGAGAGGAAGGGTGGGTGGAGGGGGAGAGAGGTAAATAGCCTTAAATCGGAAGGGAGCTGCTTCTCTGTGGTCTTCCACAAGAGCTGCCTGGGCTCTGCTGGCTCAGTAATAACTGAGTGACCTTTTCTTTTGCTGTATTATGTCTGGCTGGTAAGGGATTGCATTTTGCAGCTGATAAAGCCCTGACTTCATTCAACTCGGCTCCTCACACGCTGCTTTAGGTAAGTTGTCTTCAGCCAGGACGGAGACAGACAGCCTTGGACTGCAAGATACTAAAAGGAGGACACCTGTAGCTCGGATGCGGTCAACACAATTACTTGGCGGATCCTTGAGGACCTCATTATTTTAAACTTAAAGAATAGCGATCTCCCTCCCCATCTCTCCCACCCCCTCTTTATTTTTTTTTTCCCCAAACAATGCTTCTTTTTGACCTTTCCCAAGGAGAAGAGCTACAAAGCTGCCACTGTGCTTATTGAACTGCCTCCCCTGTATCGCTTAATTGAGAAGGTAAGTGAGGCAACTGTGTACATAAGCTTTGGGTCATTTGTGTATGTGTGTCTGCATCTCTCTCCCTCTCTCTCTCTCTCTGAGTCATAAGCTGGGGCTGCAATACACACAGACACATCTCTGCACTGCAACTTTCACTCAATCTGCAGCTCAGCTGAGACTGTTTTGTTTAAATCATGTGAGGCTTCATTATTTTTATGATGAGACATGAAATACATGCAAGCGGAGGATGCTGAGCGAAACCCATCCAACTGTATGTCTCGAGAAATAGCAAAGTTAACAATGAATTGCAGCAGCAGCACCACCACCCCCACCCCCCACCCCCCCGTTATTATTGTTATTATTATTCTTGCTTCTTCCAGAGCTTCTCGAAACGTGCTCTCAATTATCAAGGGAGTCGGTTAATTTCCCACTCCCCGGCTTTAATCCACAAGCCTCCCCGTACAGCAGTTTAATTTGCAACTGGTTCGGTGCAGGGTTAACCCTTTGGGCAGAGCGGAGGCAGGAGCGCGGCCGCTGCCGGGGGGGAGCGGGGGGGGGGGGGGGGTGCCGGGGTGCGCACACGGGCTCTCGGGGGCCGGGATCACGCAGCCTCCCCTGGACCGGCGTGGGAGAGGGACGGCCAGGCTGCTGTTAGGAAATAGTACTTCTGCCTACCATCCTTTCTTTTTTTTTCCTCTTTTTTTTTTTTTTTTTTTTAACACCCAGCCCCCCCATCCCCTTCCCGTTCTCCCTTCATACCGAGCACGATGTGGTATGCTAACGCCGCATGTGACAGTTTAATCAAACCCATTTGTTACAACAAAGCTAAGAGACCGCTGGGATTATAGGCTTACGGGCAGAGTTAGGGGAGCATGTGGCTTTGTCGCTCGCCATCGCCGTGCGCGGCCGGCGGCTCGGGGTGTGCCAACCCCCCCCCCCAAACTCTCCCCCCCCCCCCCCCCCCCCCCCCCGCCGGGCTGCGGCGCGCCGCGCTCCCGCTCACTTGACCCGAGCCGGGGAAGCACTTGCTACTTTTTGCCGGGATTTGGTGCTTCAATGAGAAGGAGCTCTCCAGGCGCCCGTAAATCAACTCATGCAGAAAAAGGAGAAAAGTTTTGGTAAGGTCGGCGGGCTCCCGTTTCCGTGCGCCCCGAGCAGAAGCGGGTGCGCTTTAAGGTAGAGCCGGGGGCGGGGGAGGGGGGGGGGGGTGGGAGGCGAGGGGGGAGGCAACGACAGTGTTTCTCTTTCCTATTCCATCCCCACTGCGTTGCCGTAGCGAGCGTCCGTGTGTGCGTGTGCTCCGAAGAGACCCTCGGCGCCGCTGCCCAGGACAGCTCTGTGGGACCGCTGGTTAAACCCATTCGTTTTGCTGGGTGCAACAAATATCGCTACGTGCTTCCCCGGCACCTCCCTCTCCCCCCCCCCCCCCCCCCCCCCCCCCCCCACCGCCCCGTCCCTGTGATGCTTGGAAGGGAATTAGCACAAAAGGCTTGGGCGTCCAACTCCAAAAGGGATTCTTTGTTGCAGAGTGTATGTTTCTTATTTATTTTTTTATTTTGCATGTGAGCTGCATCAAAATTGAACTCAGTCTTGCAAATCTCTTGTTGGCCTTTGCCAAGCACTAGCACTTTGCTGCCATGGTAACTGTAATTAAACTGATAAGAGTGGAAAAATGTCAGTATCTCTGAGCCTTGCAGCTGCATTGGAGAAAAAGGGAATCAAATTGGTTCCCAGCACCACTGCTCTAAAAAAGGAGGGAGGGAGTGGGGGGGGGGGGGGGGGGGGGGGCTGGTGGGAGAGAGGTGGGGGGGACACGACAGGGGCAGGAACATAGCGAAGCAGCTCCCGTCCCTGAGATCTGGGTACATCTATTTGCTGTGTTGTCCCTTAGGGGGCTACAGCCTGCAGGGATGCTCTGGGCCACTGAACAGAGAGAAACAAGCTTTTAGGCCCAATCTAGCTTTCAAAAAGAGAAGGGGAAAGAAGAAGAGAAATCTTTTGTTTGGTGTCTCTTGGCAATCGACTAGCCATGTTGGCCAAATTCTTTTAATCTGTATCACTGCTCCCAGCTGTGGGACTGCATTCCCATTTTTAGTTTTTACCTAACCTCTTTGCTTTTTTTTTTTTTCCCCTCTCTGCTTCCCAACCCACCTCCTTTATTTTTTAAAAATAAAAAAAAAAAAAAGAAAAATAATAAAGAAAAAAAAATCAGATTCCTCTATAGAAGAAGGGGCAGGAGGTAAAGTTTAGTTATATACCATGGAAAATTAATTCAAAAGTATACAGAAGAGACTATATTCAGAGTACTAAAATCCTTACTTTTATTTTTTTAAAAAAAACCCTGAGTGTTATGGAGTTGCGGTTACTTTGTTGTGTTAACTACAGAAGCTGAGACTGTTCGGATGAATGGCACAGAACAAGAGAGCATAATGGAGGCAATCAACCGTTAGGCTGGTTCACAATGCAATCCAGGCAATTAAAAGCTCACCAGAGTTTAAATGAAATGGTTCTACTTATTTCTGTGCACCACACTGCACAAGCTATTATTTATGTCTCTTTTTTTAATTATGATTTCCCTTAAACTGTCAAATAACTCAGAATAGCAGGGTCTTAGAGGCAATAAGAATTTTCCACAGAACAATTTGCATGCCAATCTAAAACTAGTTACGACTCCTGATGTGCTACATGCGAGTTCTGAAATGTTTCTTAGCTTCTGAAACCTTAACTTTTTTTTTTTTTTTTTAAAGTCTGTGTGTATTGTCCTGAATAATTGGAGCTCTGAATGCTTTTAGGATGAAGCTACAGAGTGGGAAAGCATTGGAAAAGTATTCTTTTTATCTTCTGTTAGATTTCTAACTCTCTTGTTGATTGCATGTTGTCCATTAGTTTGCTGTCTTTAAATATCAGTGCAGTGGTCTTTAAATTTGTTCCAAACGGATTTGTTTTTGAAGTAGAAGCAAGTTTTCCCTTTCTTGCTGTACATACTACTGTCCTTGGTAGAATGGCGTGTGTGCCTCTGCAAAGGAGGAGGGGAGAGTGGTCTTTAAAAGTTTTTTTAGGTGATCCAGTGCATAATAATATCCAACTTTTCCACTCTTAACATGCCTTTCACAGACTGTCTGTACCACAAACCAGAAACTGAGTTCTGAGGGTCTTGTGCTGCGCTCAGCATCATCAGGGACTAATCCTGCTTAGAGATGCTACTACATCACTAACAAAATACAGTTCATCATGTAAAATCTTCATTCTCTTTGATTTTTGAGAAGGGTGATGATTGGAGTGAAATGGATTTTTGTTTCTATGCCTTCCTTCAGGAGCCTAATTTAGCTTTTTCCAGCAATCTTTCCTCTTTATTCTGAAATTCATAGTTACAAATTGGTTGACAGTGTTTCATCACAGAATGATAACAATAACCAGGGATGGGAATCAGTCTCATTGAACTTATTTTAGGAGACCAAAGGAAATCCAAAAACCTGCAAACCAGGTTATGAAATTTGCCCTTCTAAATCCTAGAGGTGGTGGATGATGATTAAGAAGTCTTATTCCTGACACAGCTCTGCAGTTTATGTGCAGTATCTTGGGGACTGGGGCTGAAGGGAGGGAGGGAATGGAAGGAAGGGTAGAGGAAGCCCTTGAAAGCATATTGGGGTGAAATAAAAAGGGTTCATTTGACAGTGACAGGCTAGGCATTGAAATTTCTCAGTTCTGAGAATAGATCTGCTCTGTGATGCAGAGCATGGTTAGGACTCTGCAGAATTGAAGGGAAAGCTGGGTTTGATTTTTTTTATTTTTTTTTTTTTTTAATTTATTTTACAGCCTGGGTGTAGCACTTACGGAATTGTATGGTTTTCTGGAAGTGCTTCATAAACTCTCCTTTCCTGGGGGATGAAGAGAGGAGGGCAGTCAGGCAACAGGACTCTGTGCTGCTACCTGGTATTTCAACAGCAAGCAGTTTGGAAGGTTTTGTGGGTGCTGTTAGCATCTGAAAGGGTCCTTCATGTGTCCTAAGAAATAAATGGGTACTTCAACCACAGCCTGTGAAAAGCTGGCTGACAGTAAACTGAAGGTATTCTTATTGCCAAATTAAGAGAGCGCTAAAAATACACGAGCGCGTATCTGAAAAGTGTAACTGCATTGGAGATCTTATGGGAACATTAAAGAGAGATGGTCTGTGAGGTGATCTGCATTAACGTAGCTCATACAATACAGAAAAAAGTAATAAAATATTCTGTTTTCCAAATTAAGCAATTTAATCCAGAGGAAGTGAAGAAAAGGGTATGTGCAAAGAATTCGGAGATATGTAAAACACTTCTTGGAGTGCTGTTTTGTGCTTTGTTCTGTTTAGAACCTTTCTACACTTCAAAAAAGAGTAACCTTTTATATATATATATATATATATATACTGAAGCAGTAGTTTGTTTTTTTATTTTTTAATTTTTTAATTAAAACAGAAGCAGCTTCACTGCAAGTAAAGTGCAAAAAGATCAGATCTATCAGAGGAGAAAGCATTCTTTCCCTCCAAAAGCTGCTGCAGATTGAATCCCTAATCTGAAGATGCTGCCAGTGAGATGTCAGCATCACCTCTCAGCCTCAGGAAAATAGATGTGCAGGGTTGCTAACACTACCTCCATGGGGTCTCTGCCCCTTTTCACTCGTCTCTACGAGGAGGGTTTGGGCTAATCAACATAAATGACAGTGCTCTGTCTACTTTCCTCATGTAGTAAATGTCTCAAAAACTGTGCAGGGGTATGTGCAGGATTGTGCAAACTGCAATTTTATTTGTAATACGGTAACCTTGTGTTTGAAGCATATACCTCAGGAATTATCAGGCTTGATTATTGCAATTTGCTCAGATATTCACTTGTTTAGCCTTGTTTCTGTGGCACCGTGTTCCCTTCAGACAGTGCAGGACAGTAGATCAGCCTGGATCAGAGACTGTCAGCCTCCGCTCTCTAACCCGCTTCCTTATCAGGCGACAAAATTTTTACATTAAGATTTTTTTCCTTTAAAGCCTTTAACTGTGTTAGCTCCTAGTTTATCCTGGTTTCCCTCAAGCTAAAGATTAAAGTCCTAGAACAGCCCTTCGTGCTTCTGAAGTTTTTTACTGAGTTCCAATAAGTTGATACAAATTGTGGCCAATTTTATGCGTTTGTCCTCTGTGTGGCCAAAAAGGGGGACTGGGGATAAGCTTGTTGTTTGCACTTGACAAATATTTATACTCTACTGTGATATGCAACTTTACAGATTAAGGCTTTTCGACCAAGTGAGGTTATTAGAGTTCCAGAAGGAATTCCTTTTACAGTCTGGTGTAGGTTCTTTACCAGAAATCTCTGATATTTTCACAACTTTTAGTCATTTATTTGTAGCCATGTTATTTTGCTGCTTCATGTATGTACCCTGGATTCAGGGGAGTCAGTTGGCAATTGAAAGTAGGCTCAGCCTTTGTCTCATGGTGCTTGTTCGAGACAAGACGTGTGTGTTCGTTCCCAGATATGACACAGACTCACTGTGGAGCCCTGTGCAGATCGCCGGATCTCATCCTCCTCCTTGTGAACAAACAGACCGTACTTGTCTGTAAGGGGTATAGGAGCTATGAGAGTGGCATTGGCTGAGGAGTAATGGGAAGGCAGCAATGCCATTTTTTTTATATTTACTGACAGAAAAATACAGACCTTACTCTTCAGTTATGAGCTTTAGATGTTATGCATCAGTACTGCCATGGTACTTCGGGGTGCCCGCTACAAGGACTGTCTGCATAGATCCGAATAGCTAATTTAACAGATAAATATATCACTCCACAATGCATAATAGGTGTATTGCAAAGAGGGGAACAAGGTTGGTGTGCTCATCTGTCACAATAAAAGTTACTATTTCTAATTCATTGATCAGCTTTGCAGGTGAAACTTGGGAGTTCAGCTTGGTAACCCTGGAAAGTCACTTAACTGGCTCAAGAGTCACTGTGGTCCACATAAATTCAGTATGTTTCATGTACACATATGCATACAGATCCCTGGGATGCCTCAGCCAGCATAGCATTTAGCCTCTTGTCTTTGTAGCGCTAATATCCATAAAGGTACACTGTACCATTGCTTCAAAGACTACACTTATTTTTGTGTTTTCCTTATGAGAGCTTAAAAAAAAAACCAAACAAACAAACAAATCCAAACAAAACAAAAACAAACAAACAACAAAGCAAACCAAACAAAAACCTAAACCCCAACTTGTTCATGTTCTAGCTCCTTGAGCCTGCCTGTCTGTAGTGGTGTGTCACAGCACCAACCAAGATCTGCTGATAGAAGGGCTGGGACTATAAAGCTTTCTTAACAGTAAATAGTAGAGTATTCTTAATCATGAGCTCTTGAATTTTCTTTTCTTTGTTATGAGACTCTATTTGACCTTTCCCAGTCTCTGTGTAATAACAGGGTGCCATATCCTGAATTTTGGGATTGGATTTGCTTGTTGGCCACAGCATTCATTCCCCAGTCTTGACTAATTCTCATTGTAATGTTTGGATGCAATCGAATGAAGAATATTTTTTTTTTTTGTTACATCTCTGATTGGCTTTAAAACAGTGAGATAACCTGATAATTGAACTTGTGTCAGTTCTCTTTTTCTCTCTGGTGCCTGTTTGATGTTCAACAAAGCATCCGCAGGGCTATGATTTTGCTTATTCTAAGAAATTACTTTCAGAGAATTGGTCCAAGTGTAATGGGATGGTAGTTTGTGCCAAGAGAGACCAGTCTGTGAGCACTTCAGGGCAGTGACCTTCTCTCCTCATTTACTGTAAAACTGAGGGCAATCGATTTTTGTGTGGATCTCTGGAAGCTGGCTGTGGTGCTCTGCATACCGTCGCTCAACTGTGTTCCACTTTTACCAGTTCCATCCCTTAAACAGTGGTTCAGGTGCTTGAATTGTTATTTAAATACTCTCTGCTTTTACATCAAAAGGACTATGTATACTTAATGTACACTACTGTACTCTTTGTCTCAAATTAGCTGTTGGTTTAAATTGGGATTAGAAAGTGGTGCAGTTTTTTAGGTTGTTGTTTTGTTTTGTTTTGTTTTGTTTTTCCCCTAACAAACTAGCTACTCTCTCTGACCTTGTGCAGATTATTTAAAATCAGATTTTTCAGAAGGTCCTTATGCTTCCAGTTGTAACTAGAGATGGTGGTACCGAAATCTCTGGAAATCTGATTGCTTCATTCATGTGTCTAACAAGAACTGAAATCTTAAATAACAAAACACCCCCCCTGCCAGCACCAAAATGTCTATGTCAAACCTCCCTGGAACTCTGGACCTGTGCCTCTAACAGCTTCAGTCTTTTCTTCTTTAGAATCTGGCGTGTTTTTATATTTTACAATGATAGTGCAAATATAGGTCCAAATGTGTAGATTTAACTATGTTTGCCATCATAGATATGCTGTTTATCTAAATTTTTGGTTGCTAAATATTGGATACTTTAGGTCAAAGTGGATGACTCTTCAGCTGAACTGTTTTAATTTTTCATTTTAACTTTTCAGTCCTACTTCTTTTCAGCAAAGAGACCAGGTAAATTCTATGGAACTTAGAGCAGTGGAAGTTTCTGCTCTCAAATTTATTTTAACATAGTCCACAGCAAGCCAAAAACAATCTAGATTATTTCATCCTATCTACACGACTGACTTTTTAATGAACTGGGCGTGGGGCAAGAGGCGAGGTGGAGGAAGAAAAAGGCAAGAGCTGCACTTGAGAGAATATCTATTTTCACTCTTCTCTTGTCTTGTTGTATTTCAGGTATACAAATGCTCTCAGTCCAGCCAGACACCAAGCCGAAAGGTTGTGCTGGCTGCAACCGTAAGATTAAAGACCGGTATCTTCTAAAGGCCCTGGACAAATATTGGCATGAAGACTGCTTGAAATGTGCCTGCTGTGACTGTCGCCTGGGGGAGGTGGGCTCTACCTTGTACACCAAAGCCAACCTTATCCTTTGTCGCAGAGACTATCTGAGGTAGGCCACGTCCTTCTTATGTTCACTGACAAACTTGCTAAGTCTATTCAGCCCTTCTGATGTAGTCACTCTTGCGTAAGCGGTACTTCAGAGCTGCAAGGCCGAGTGTATGTGGAGGATGAAAAAAAAAAAACAAATACCACAGTATGGAGTTAAAACTAAAATCTGAATCAAAAAGCACATGTAACCAGGTCATGTGGGTGGTTGTCAGCTTTCTGATGCTAATAGCAGGGTCCTGTGCTCAGAGGAGGGAAAGGATAGAATAAACCCTCTGCGCTTCCCACAGCACCGCGCTCCCGGCGAGCTGGTGGTGTCTCCTCCTCCTCCTCCTCGCAGCACAGTGCTGGCCAGGCATATTGACCTGAAACCACAGGCGTGGTTTGTTCCAGCGCCAGTGAGGGGTTTGAACTCTGTCAGTGAGGAGTGTTTTGCTCGTCTTTGCCTGCCTGCTTTCGTCCTCTTCGTTTGCCAGAGGGATTTAAATTGTGGCACTGGAAGCTGTTATGAATGTCGCCGTTTAGCTGTTAGAAGCTGGACCAAGACGACCAGCTGTCTTCCCTCTGCTAAATAATCATGTAGCTGGTATGCTCAAATCCACTCTGGTCCCAATTTAACCCAATGATCTGGATAAGACACTGGGTTACCTCTCACCGCTTTGCACAGAGAGCAAATCATCACCTGATTTTCTATCTGCTTGTTTGCTTGTGGATCTCAGGAGTATCTGAGGTATAACTCTTAGCGAAGTACTTATGAGCATCACCAGTCTAGTTTCTCTGCAGATTGTATGTGACTAAATAGGGCTACTTTGCAAGAGCTAAGTTTAATTGGGAAGATTAGTCTCCCTAGGCCCTCAGTAGTAACTAAAGAGAAGAGGCTCCTCTGGGGTGATTCAGAGCACCTATTTCCTATAAGAGCACCTTTCCTCTGTTCCCTGTAGAGGGGGCCTAATGAGACTAGCTGCTCCAGGCTAATGTGAACTTCTGGGAACGTTTCCCATGCCCCTGTAGTGAAGCCTCTTCCTTTTAAAGGGACATTCAAGTCAGTAATGCATTGGGGAAAAATTAAAATTCTCTTTGAACGCGTTAACTTGCAAGTTCAGTTTAAGCACAAGTACCAAATAGGAGGTTCCCGCACACTGATCAGCTCCCACACACTGACCAGTTCCCAGGTTGTACAGCGTGAGTAGGTTGGAACAGGAATCAAGACTAAAGCGTTATTAACAACTGCTGGTGCTCTGGCTCTCCATGTTACAACCTGTTTTTTCCAGAGTGGAACAAAAACCTTTGCAAATGCATTGTGCATTTGTTGAGCTGGGGCTGCAAGGCAGACCAGGGTTCTTCAGGCATGGGCTTGGACTGCTTACTGGTAAAAGTACTCTCCTACCCATTAAAACTCTGAACTGAATGCAAGATAGAGTGCTGGGAGTTTAGCATAGAGTTTGCTTCTTAAAGCTGCTAAAGAAGTAGGTAACAAAACCTTACTTTTAAAAACTGTCAGGGAACTGCTTGAATAGAAGGGAATTGTTGTACGTGAACCTAGATCAACTGTGATCTTAAAGCATGTGTCTATAGAGGGGTCAGAACAGCTTCTGGAGGGGAAGGTAACACTTATCCTAATTTTTAAAACCCATTTTAAGATTTTTTTCTGCAACAAATGCCTGCAGGAGTGAGAAAACTCTGCTATGGCTCTTTCATCCGAGTCCCAAATTTACCAGGGACTTTGAACTTACTGAATCTCCCGAGTGCTAGTGCAGCAGATTCAATGTTTTAAAATCAAATGTTTAAAATGAAAACCAAAAGTGATCTAGCAGTAGAGATATGAGCAAAGCATTTCCTCAGCACAGATGCACACACACATACTGCTGCTCTCTGGTCTTTGAAGGTCTAACAGGAGTAAATATTTTGCTAACAGATTGTTAAAATTCATACCAAGTGAATCAGAGTAAGGAGACTGTACTTTTTGTGTCATGACCACATTCAAAACTGGTGTTTCATTTACTTGTTCATACACAATATGTCACACCAGTGAAACCAGCATACATGAGAAATCCTAGAATCAGTTTTAAGACGTTTCTGATTTTTGTCTCTGGACTTATCAGGTCTTAATGAAGCTATCTTGTCGTGAGCCTTTTTTTTAGTGATTCTTGTGAGTGCATAGATTTAAACTTGGTATTTACACTAAACTTCAAGCTGATGCACTTAAGGTAATTGCAGATAGTCATTTGCCTCATTGCGTCTTATCTACTTAGTTATGCAGTGAACCTATAAAAGTGATCTTTTTAATGCTAATGCAGAAACTAGTTAAATGTTCTCTAGCTTTGTAGTCAAATATGCTTTCATATTTAGCAACCCACTTGATATGAATTTAAAGAACAAATTATTTTGTACCAATGATCAGATTAGGGTTCGATTACAGTTTCAAACTATGCTCTTAACATTTTTTTTTTTCTTTTTGACCATAAAGGGAGTCTTTGCTACATATAAAACTGTTTTAGCTTCCTATTAATTTATGTGGTGCCCTCTAGAGGATATGTGGTTTGCATGATACTATAAAGAGTAAAATTGCTTATTAACTTGTCTCTCTGTGTTCATTATGTCTTTCAATAAGACAGCCATTCTACAGATGCTATAAGCAATAATGTAGCCAGTCTGGGTGCTTTAACATTCATGGTTAAATACGCAAATTGTGTGATTGTGTCTTTGGCTATTTGCAAAGATACTTCCAGTGTCTCTCGTTCAGAGATGCCTGCCAAAAAACTAAATGTTCCTCAGCCCTGATGCACACTCTTGTTCTGCATTTTATCCCTGAGGTACCCACTTTTGCGAGCTTTTTATAAATATTCTGTATTTTCAGCACTACAAAACTGGCTTTGCTCTCTCCTTTGGTAAAATTAGTTAATTTTACTGTATTAAAACCTTTTTCTCCGGGTTGAAGGGATGGAAGAAATCTTTAATGAGGTAATCAGCTTAGAAGATGCTTTGGGTGTGAGAGGCCCTGAAATCTGATTCATGTAAGTCACTCCAGTGGTTTCAGAAGTGACGTAGGACACCAAGGATGTATTAGGGTGGCCGCAGCAGGAATGAGGGAATGAGCTCTGTTTTGTTAACGAGGATGAGAACTGACTTGAGTAAAGAAAGGACTCAATGTTAGAAATAACACACTCGGCGAAAATGATATGCAGAGTATAATTCCCCTGCAGGCTTCTGTCTCCTGCTTATACACTCTTGGGTTAAAAAGTGAAGACTTAATTTAAGGAACTTAGGTTTATGCCAATATTTCAAGTCCATTTACAGTAAGTGAAATATGCAAGAAGTTTTTTTTTTTTCCCTTTGCTTTTTCCCTTCAGAGCCTTACGTGACATCTTAATGTATCAGCCTATCCTGCTCTGTCCTCTCTTCTGACTGGCAGCATGTCCATTTACAAGCACAATATTCCCTTTGAAATCTGTCATTACTGCCATTAATGACCAGTCATTATGTTAACAGCCCTTGGGCTGTTAACATGTCAAACTGGTTGTTAACTGGAATGTTATTACTTATTTAAACCGCAGGTATGAGTTGTGTGAAATGCACTTTGGTTGTGCATTCTGGGCTGCTTTTGCTCAAAACAATAGGGAAACAGCGGAGCGTTTGCATATGGAGAGCCAAGGGATTTGCTTTCTGTTCCATCTGCTCATTTGATTTCTGCATATTTGTGAGGTCCTCCTACCCCTGCGCAGCCTCCTAATTTCAGGTGCAACTATGTGCAGTCCTGCCTCTTAGCCTCGTGAGCAAATGGGCAGCCGCAGATATTTCCAGATGCACAGTAATGCCTGTCGCACATTTGAGATTAATATCTGGCCCCTAAAAGTGTAAAACGAAAGACCGACAATTACATGTAACTCAGTTGTATTAAATAATGAGCTTCCTCCGATGCAGCGAAAATATGAAAGTACAGCTGTGCTAAGCTAGTAGCAATGTAGGTCAATCACCCTTTTCACTTAGGTTTTTAACTACGCAAACCCTGCTGAGCGACCAATGACTACAAAGTGCTGTTTCATTCCTATTTAATTTTGGCAGCATTTTACTGAAGAGCAGGCATTCATGCAGCTAAATTATCTTCACCGTTTCTGGTTTTAACTCCAGCTTCATGACACTAAATGTTGAAGTGCATATCTCTTAGTAAACACAAAGAATATGGTTTCTGATTTATTTTTTTTTTTCAAATCTATCTCTTAACATGGAAATTGAATTAGAACTTTTATTACTTTTTGCATAATTTCTCTACCCAGGCAAACAGATCATAGGAAAAGGATTAACAAAACTAATATATTGGAGTGGAATTTTTGCCCTTAAACACATCTAGAACCTTATCAGGGATGGAGGGGGGGGTGGTGACACAAAAGTCTAGCCCCCCCCACTGCCCAACTTTGGTTTTGTGTTTGCTCGTAAATGTACTGCAGACTTTAAAAGTACCACTGAATAGCTATGAAGATGAGTAGATTGCTATTCCTGAAGAAAGGAGCAGATATTAGTTTTTTTTCCTTCCCCCCTTGCTGGTTCAAAGACCTGAGACAAGTCAGGTTTTTAAAACACATATATTGGATGACATTTTGTAAATAATGAGATGTGACTACAGAAAGTAAAGTGTTCAACCATAAGCATCGTAAAGATGCTGCCTCTAAAATATTTAGCTTGTGAAAGGGTGCAGACTGAAAAAAGTCGAGTTTAGGAAGCAGACTTTTCCTGTACAACGGCTCGCACTCTAAAGGCAATTATTATTTTAAAAAAATATTACGTCAGAGTACTTAGACTTAAAATGTCTTGAGGCCTGGTACTGATTAACAGATCCCATTTCTCTCTCATGTCATGGAAAGTGCACATTAACTTTTGCAAGCACCTAAGATATCAGCTCTCATAAACGTATGTATAAATGCTCTATATCGATGTTTTCACAGGTAGTGGGTTATAAGGTGTTTTAAAAATGACACCTCAGTGTGCTTCTTACCCAGCTTGATTAAA